AAAAGATTAAATAACACTGGGAACTTAGATCTCAATCTACTTAATTTCCTAGGATTTCTGGCTAGAATACTGTTTTTTTTTTTTTTTTTGTAGATGTACAACTTGAGATCATAGGAGAGTTTGAACGTAAGCAGCCAGCTAGGCAGTGGAGAGGGAATAGGCCAGGACTTGGACTCAGAAAACCAGGCTTAAATCTTGTCTCCATCATTAATTTTGTGAGCTTGGGCAAAACTTCTTTTCTCCATGTCTCAGTCTATCTATTTGTAAAAGAAGGGCCTGATGATCACATTACTCAAGACTCTTTCAGAAGCAAATGACAGAAATGCAAGTCAAGGTGCATTAGAGCATGTGAGATTTATCTCTGCACATAACTGAAAATGCCATGTTATTAGCAGCTCAGGATACAGCTGGACCAAGGGGCTCAAATTGTGCTCTCAGGCTCTGCCCCTCTCCATCTCTCAGTTCTTCTGGCTTCATTTGTTTCTGTTTCTGTATTTTGCCTCTAGACTTTTTTCCCCTCTCTTTTTTCTTTTTGGAGTGGGGGTTGGCATCAAGGATTGAATTTGGGGACACTTGGCCACTGAGCCACATCCCCAGACCTATTTTGTATTTTTTTATTTAGTGACAGGATCTCACTAAGTTGCTTAACTCCTCACCTTTGCTGAGGCTGGCTTTGAAGATTGTTCTGTCTTTGAAGATTGTTCTGTCTCAGCCTCTGGGATTACAGGTGTGCACCAGCTCGCCCGACTTTTCTTTTCTTGAGCTACCAACTTCTTGGGAAACAGTTTTCTTCCCTTACAGTTTCATTGGTCCAAATGACAGTTGGCCATATACTCTTTACTAGGTATCTGTGATATCATGATGAAAAAAAAGTGTTTTTTTTTTAAATAAGCATATAAAAGTCCCTTTTCTATTAAACATTCATCTGATAGAACAGTCAGGCAGCATACTCACACATAAATAAAAAATGTAATGCTTTGCCATTCTTAGTATATTCCAAAGAAAAAGTAAGGGGAAGGAATAGAGAATGATGAGGGGCTATTTGATAGRAAATGATAAGACAAGTTTTTTTCTCATACACAAATATTTGAGATTCTTCTGGGAGAAAAACCATGAGTTTAGGAAGTTGTTTGTTGTGTCTCAGGACAAGCCAGGAGACCAGCTAGGGCAGGATGATATTAGAAGGACACTGGTTGGGAGTAAGGGTGGAAAAGAAAGTAATGAGTATCAGATTTTACTTTAAGTCAGTTGGAAATCCTGAAAGGTTGTAATCTGTAGAAGGACAAAAATAATTATCCAAATCGTCTTTAAGGGTATCTCTCCTGATGCGACATGGAGAACAGGCTGTAGGACATAGCAAATTAGGATCAGAAGAGTTAGGGTCAGTTAGGAGGTTATTCCACTCATCCAAGTGGCTTAGACTACCAGAATAAGTGAAGAATAATGGTCAGGTTCAGAATGATTTTTTTTTTTTTCAGTCAGTACTTGTCAGTACAAATGAACCCAGGGCTTCACATATACTAAGCAACTACTGAGCTACATTGTGAGCCCTTTTCATTTTATTTGGACAGGATCTCTTGGTAAGTTGCTCAAGTTGGCCTTGAACTTGCATTTCTCCTGCCTCAGTCTCCTGAGTCGCTGGGATCACAGATGTGCAGTACCACACCTGGCTCTCAGAATAAATTTTGAAGGTAGAGTTGACAAAGTTTGCTGTTGAATTAAATATTGTCCTTCAAGAGGAAGATCAAGAGTCATAAGACGAATCCATCAGACACGCCACTTTTCTTTGGGATGAAATAAAGATGTAAAGTTGTGTATACATATCCAAAATTTTGTTATTGTTTGTTTGTTTTGCAGTTGTCCTATATATTCTGTAATTATATTCATAGAGATACTTATAGCTCTATGGGAATATGAAACAGATTAATGTTCCTGTCTCAAAGTTGGAGGTCAGGGGTAGGGTGAGCCATCTGAATCACACCTATGGAAAGTAAAATAGGATGTTTTTCTAAAACAAACCGTACATAGTGCCATATGGGAGAGGGAGTCAATGCTAGACAATAAAACACACACACACACACACACACACATTCACACACACAATGTCTGGTATAAATGTCCTTAAACTTTCCTTTGATCCTAGAGAAATTCTAATGCTTTTTCTGTTACAAAGTAAGTGAAATCATTAGCATTATCTCTTGAGGTTTTACATATGGGTTTAGAAAATATTTAAGTGGAATTCTCTCCAGGCCTAAGAGCCTAAGCCCCACTAGTTAAATCCTGTTTGGAATTATTGTCCTGCTGTCCAACAGTAATGAAATTAGTAAGGAGTGTGCAGGGGGAGAGCTGGGAAGGGGCCGACCACTATCAATTCTCTTCTCTGTGCCTTATTTTTGTAAGTAACCTGGTCCCACTCGCACTCCAACCTCCACCTCCACCTCCTCCTCCTTCCTCCCCCTTCTTTCTATCACTTTCCCCGAATGGGCAGTGATGTTTCATGTTTTGACGCATGTGCTCAGCTGCTGCTTTTGCCTGGAATTTCCCTTCCTGGAATTTCCCTTCTCGTACCTACCTCGGCATGTAAAAATCTAAGACGTAGGTGAAACACCAATATTTCCTGGCATCTGATTCTGACAGTTCTATCTATAGTTATCCTCTTCCTCATTTGTGATCACAATGTGCCCTATGGAAATGCCTATCAAAATGAGTACCCTTTATCTTATCCCCTTCTTCACAGCACATTGTTGAGTTTCAGCATATGCAGTATCCTTTCTCTCCAGTCCTTTTTACAATTAAACCACAAAATTTAAAGGGGAAGTGGGGGAGATGAGAAAGGAGCAAAGAAGAGCAATGCCTTCTTCCCTCTGACTTTGTTTCTTTAAAATAGAATAGTTTATTAATAGACAATGTGTTGCTGTGATGGAAAAGAATATATTCTGAACATTAGAGGGAGCAGTGGGAATACACAAGCATGAAACCCATAAAACAGGTGCTTATAAGGCACCCCCTTTAACAGTGCAGATCTTAGGCATCCCATCTTACCCTAGGTTAGTTTGTCCTAAGTTAGGATTTGTTTGGGGGTATTCAGAATAATCTAATTTTAATATATTTCTTCCTTTGAACAACTGGCTAACATGTTCTTCTGCTCCGATCAGGTTGCGGCCRTAGTTTTGTGCTTTTCTCTTTGAAGTTCAAGATAGATCAGCACGTGACCTGAGAAGCATGACTAGGACATGATGGGGCTTGATGTCGTTTTACCTAAGTAACAGAAAAACCTGGTTGGAACRGATGTGAGAAATGTTGGTCTTCACCTCCCTGAAAGAGAAGCTCAAAGTAGGACTTTCCCTTCAGAGGTTTTTGATTCCCCTGATATGGGGTAGGGCCCTGGCATTAGAAAATTTCAAAAGCTCACATAGGTGATTCTCAATTCCTGTTATGGAGAAGAACCACTGCATGGATCTAAGTGCTCATTTTACAAAGGAGGAAATAGTGAGTTGATAGCTCACAAGTCTGATCTGATTGGTGGCAGAACCAGTGCTTTCTTTCAACTAAACATTCTCCATGCTGCTCAGGCCCAGGACTGTGTCTTACTTGTTTCATACCTCCTTTGGCCTGCCTCCATTTAATAGAGCTGGGYTCATGGTAGGATTTCAGTAAATATCAACTTTATACATTCACATCTGTTTTTTAATTGCCAATATCAGCTGTTTTKGGGGAAAAAAAATCTTAAGAGAAGGCAAGTATGCAAAATTCCATGAGATTTTCAGAGGTCCAGCACAGAGAGCTCCTTTGGCCTGGGTTTGGTCCTCAGCAAGCTGTCCCCATGTAACCCCAGAACTTGTCATGACTTCCATCAGGGTTTCCATGCCATCAGTTAAATGAAGAGATTTTAGGACAGGCTGGGGGTAAGTACGGAATGTGTGGAGTGAGGAGGAAGGAAAAGCAGGAACCTATCATATGAGCTACATCCCCAAAGGAAAAAAATCCACAACCAGATCATGTGCTGTGAATGGATAATTATGAATGTAATGATTCTACTATTGTCATGTATGTAAGAAATAAATAAATAAATAACAAATAAATGGATGCCTTAAAAAAAGAATTAATGACAGGCTTAAACACACAGGAATATGGGAACAAGATGGCATTATACCTGAATCTGGACATACATAGAAAGTGCTAAGAGGAAAGAAAAATGACACAGTTTGTAAGAATATTGGCACTCAGATTCAGGATGAGTGCACACAGAGATGAATATCTCATTGCTGTCATTTACAATCCAGCTTTTCTTCCAGTTTTTATCAGGAGCACCTAAGAATTTTATTTCCTCCAACTTCACAAGCCTGGAATTACCCTTAGAGATTTAAATTCTGGAGAAACAGAGGGTGGATTCTGTTTAAGGAGAATTGAAATCAAAGCCTGATCTTGGTCCCTCACAGATCATGCTGATGCCTGAGTCCACAGTATAGCACCRTCCTTTGCTCACATCCTTTGGTCTCATAAATATGAAAATTACCCAGGCAGAGGCCACACTTAATATATGCTCATTTATTGATATATTAAGATAGTGAGCAATGAGTTTCATCACCTGCTTTCCTAACAGGTAGTTTTGATAAGAATCATTATAAAAACAACATTGGATTTTAGCCTGATTTTTACTCTTCATTCACTCATTGATGTACTTCCCCTTCTTATGGATGAAAAATAAATAATTGTGAATAATTACAGGTACCTCTTCTATTATCAGCCTGTGTAAGAAGCCCAGTTTGAGAGAGGTGGTGCATCCTAGTCAGTAGAGGTAGGAGAATATTTGGTATGGCCCAAAGGTATTGTAGTTCTTTCTCAAAAGCACATGATGAATCAGATCCTGTCTTAGGACACCTCCTCTGGCAAGCATACCAATATTGAAATAAGTTATTAGAAAACAAGCCACAGATCTTTTTTTTAATTATAAAACATCGTTTATTTAAAAAGAGCAATGCTTTATACAAATTCCCATTACAAACCCGCCAAATATCTATTGGCCTTTTCCAGGTGTGGTAGCAGAATATAAAAATATCAAAACTGGATAAATTGTATCACAAAAATTCCGTTGGATCTTTGGACTATTGATTTTCTGTGGGGTTTAGCAATAGGTTTCCATATGCATTTACACAACATATCAGGCTTTATATATGAGGCAAGGGCTCTTTGAATGATAACATCWAGAAGCATAGATTGTCAGGTTTGGAAGACATGCTAAAAGTTGCTTGGTCCAAATCCTCATAAGACTCAGGATAACTTCTCCCTGTGCTTTAGCATGAAGTACCATTCCCACTACCCTGCAGTGCTTGTTAGCTGCCACCTGACAATAAGAACACTGAAGGTATTACTTAAAAAATAACCTCCACATCTCCTTACAGTTTATGTGTCAAAGACTCCCAAACACTCAGGTTTCTGTTTCCTCCTTTGCATCTGCTTAGCTACAAAAGCATCAGTCCATCTGACTGAAGAAATGAGGACTTTCTCAGGATCCTTTTTATTTAGTGAACTGAATTTCACTTTAGTGTTTCACTACTCAAGARACTGATTAAGGCAAATGACCCATGTCAATATTCTTCTTCTTTTTCCTCCTTTTAAAAGTAACCGCTGAAACTATGCACTTAAATTTCTTAATTCTTTCCCTAGTACAGCACATTTCACCTTACAAAACCACATTCACATGTATTGCATCTCACTGGAGTCCCACAACATCCCCGTGATGTAGGCAGATTAGGAATTACAAACCCCTTTTTAGAGATGAAGCAATAAATCTAGGGCAGCCAAGTGTCTTGCCCAAACTCAAGGCAATAATTGAWAGCATTGAGATTGAAATCCAGGCCTCCAGACCTCAGAGTCAACACCCTTTCCATTACATCATCTTGCTCATGTGAAGTAACATTCTTACAGACTAGAAAGGTAGGAGAAGTTGTTCAAATGGAACAGAGCACCAACAAAATGTTCAGCTCAGCAGAATGAAAGGAAATGGACCTGCAGAATAAAGGAGCTACTACACAGAGCAAAGGCTGTGTGTAGGTTTTATTCAGCAACTTCAAAGCTGCCAATTGAGCAAAGAAAAATACTACTTAGGCATATTTCATGTTCAAAGAATGAGACTCATATCAACTAATTAATACTCCCATTAACCTTTACCAGCTGGTTAAGCATAATTATCTCAATTTGACAGATGGGAAAAGAGGTAGAAAGATTAAGTGACTTGCTCACAGCTATAGAGAGAGTATTTGTCACCACATTATCACTCCAGCAAGTCTAGCATTTTGTTCAGATAAACATACCACACCTCTCTGGGAAGAGGTAAACTATATWATAATTACATATGTAAAAACAATGTAGCTTAGGAGGGAGGAAGAAAAAAGGTAGTTTGGGGGATGTGGGACTGTGAATAAGTATCTTAAAAATCCAATCAATAAAACTGTGTTATGACACTCAGGTGAGCAGCACAGCCATTCCATGAAACAAATATTTTTGAAGCAAACAAGAATGCCGTAGGTCAAAGTACAGGGATCTTGAGGGAAGGTCAACAGAAAAATATCGTCTGGTCATGCAGAAGGATTTGTTCCCACAGATTTGAACTGTAACAGATTCTTATTGGCTTTCYGACTGAAAATGTATTCTACCAGATACATTATCAGATTCAGGAAAAGAGTACAACATAAAGAAAAGTGGGCTTGGGGGGCAAGGGCTAATAAAGAAGTAAGTGCCATAAGATCATGGAAAAATAAGATAAAGTAAGTATATGAAAAGGGCACACAGGAAGAATTCATATTTGATACAGTAGTTTTGGTCTTACAGCAAAGATGCTAAAAGCTGATAGCAGGGGCTAAATGATATTCAACCTATTATATAGGTATGAAGAAAAAGGAAGAAAAATATTCTAATAAGCTTATTTAATTAAAATGAAATATACTTTTTCTATTTTAGAGACACTCTGAGTGTACRAATACCAACATAATGACAATAAGAGTTTTTATGGTCTGATTTTTTATAGAAAAACATGTATATATACATATCTGTACATATTTAAGGGGCACCCCTCCCCCATGACTACTTGGTGGGAAGCAATAAAACGATGGAAAGGGCTTCCCTCTGACACTGAGAAAAGAAGATAAAATAAGACTAAGCTACTTGTCGCCATGGATATTTATAAAAATATGGTTTCTTTTGTAAAAAAAAAACCACAGTTCAGATTACAATAGTCAAAAGTCTAAGATCRTAATGTCAATGATAGTATTTCAAAGTCCATTCTGTATTTGTGTYAACAGGATTTTCTCCTTTTGCCTCTGTCACACGTAGTCTTTTCCACTGGATGGTGTAGGTTTTGGATAAGGCCGTGGTGTTGGGTAAGAAGTTGTTTTTCGGGGACAGGAGCAGCAAAGTAGGGCACCTCCCAGAAGGCAGAGCGAGGCAGCAGCCCAGCCAGTGAACAGAGCCTGGCCAAATTCATATCTAAAGAGAGACACAATGCATATGTTAGTCAATGAATCACTGGCAATTTTTCTAAAGAAGGAAATGATATAATACACATTATATTTCTTTAGTGAAATTAYACCCCTCCCTTGATTCCTTGGGAGGTACTTTAAGGTCTGTGAACACAAGAATGTTTACATTGCAATTATTGACAATTTATAATAGTACAGCAGGAATACGACCTGCAACACCAACTTAATTACATGAATATTTCCAAAGATTTTTCCATGTATAGGAGACTTGTAAAGCAATGCTTATATATTTCAGTTGTGGGGATTARACCACAGTTCTTAGTCTATAACTTATTAATTGGTGCTATCAAATATCAATCATATTTTTTAAAAATTTGCTAGAGTAGAAACTACTAGAGTTTCTAATAGTTGATCCTACTATGTAAACTAAAATCTAAAATTTATGTTTTATAAAAAGACTTCTGAGTAGTCCTTAGCTCAAAGAAGTATTAAGCCAGCCAGTTTCCTATGGTTAAGTATCTGTGACTGATTATGAACAATAGAGATAAAAGAACTAGATCTAAAAGTTATAAGGCCTGGGTTTGGAACCTGATGCCAACCCCCAACTGTTGCAATTATGGGGAATCAACTTTACCTCTCACCCATAGTTTCTCCCACCTGCTTCCTTGGATGGGTTTCAGGATCATGTGTGAGCATGTAAACAAAAAGTGCATAGTGTCCAGCAATTTATAAACTGCTTTCACATGCACTACTAGTATGACTGCTCTGGTAAAATTTTGTCCTATTGACCTCCATAAGTTTCTGTTCCTGCATCATAAGTCTTATGGGACAGGCTCCAACATAATCATTGCAGTCTGTGTTCTTCTGTACGTGGGAGATTATATAAAAAGAAGCACACCTTATCTCTGAAAACACTGAGTTTTTTATTTGTTCATCCTAGGACTTACAAACAATAATTACATTTTAACATCTTGACTTTGAATGTAGTTATTAAGCTTTAAAGATGTGAAGACAGTGAGACAATCAGTGCTGTCCCTGATCAAAGTGTGTCATCAAATGAGGACCAAGAATCTGCTCTTTAACTTGTATGGTTTGTAGTAATGAAAGAGATGATCTTTATAAAGTCAATTTTGTAGTGGTAATGGAACATAATACTTCAAAGGTATATCTCAAAGTACTAGAAAAATACACCACAACATGGCTTTACATGTAAAAATAACTGTTAAGAATAAAGTATTATTCATTAACCACTATGATAGTACTATTTTTAAGCCATAATAAACTATGCATTACAAGTAATCCTAGTTAGTTGCTGTAAACATCAGAATWCACTTCAAGAAGAAAATTTTAAATRTATTAACACTTGTTCATATTTGGAGAAAAAAAAATAAAGATGCCCCATGTAGTTGGGAAATACACAGCCCAGAACTTTTCTACTTTGAAGTGCATTTTGTCATCAATACAGGCTGTTAAAGCAATTATCAAACTCATTTTAACACGAGTCACAGGTCATTTGAATTGTTTGCAAGTTTGACATAAGATTTCATACAATTTTTGAAAGCAAATTTGAGGAACTATGGCATTAGCAGGATTGTGTTGAACATAAGATGGRCATTTCTCTCAGAAAATAAACTATTTTCTGCTTGAATAGCATTACCTGGCATTGACGGGGGTCATAGGGTCATAGAATTCTTGAACAATTCTATTGCCATACCATGCTGTGGCAACTAAAATAACCAGACCTACAGAAATGCAAAACAAAAGGCTGTTAATCACTATGGAACACTGAGCCCATTAAGTCCGAATGTATTTTATAAGAATTAAATCTCAACAGTAGTGCTGACATTTTTATCTTAGTATTACCAACAGTAGAGTTGATTTATATATGATTTATTCCAAGTATTCTGTTAAGATATACAAAAATATTAAGTTGGAATTAGGCATAGTTTAACTATTCATGACATCTTATTTATTTATTATTCAAGGTCACTGGCACAAATAATGCTTTTTAGAAGAAATCCAGCAAATTCATATTATTCAAGATTTTCTTCAAAGGTACTGCAGTCCTATAGTTTAGTATGCTAAGCTACTTTTAATAGAACTGTTGTTCTTATTAGTTGTGCTTAAAAACAAAAGGTGAGAATTCTTATAGTTTCCACTTGACCAAAGTGAAAATTTACAGTTTCTGCTGGAACAAAATTAAAATAAGCGGCTAGTAGCAGAAAGAGCAGGACCTGTCTCAGAATGGACCAGAACACCCAAATCCCTATTGGCCAGAGCAACACTGTACGATGGAATGATTTGCTGAGGGTGCCATGTCGAATTGCTTTCTATAGCACAAGCTCAGTTTYACACAACATTTTTATCCATTAATATCAGGGAAATCACTTCATCTAAAACACCTATGCCATCAACATAAATATAAAATGTTTATAATGAAATATAAAATGGCTCATATTTTCTTGTCCAAAGGAAATAATTGGTATACAAATTTTCAGTTAGATAGAAGAAATAAATTTTCAAGAGATTCATTGTACAAAAGGCTAACTACAATTAATGTATTCTTGAAAAATGCTAAGAAGGTATATATAAGTGTTCTTAACACAAAAATGGTAACTATGTGAGGCAAGATGTTAATTAGCTCAGTTTACTTATTTTTCAATGTATATGAAAAATATGTGCAAATTTACCTGTCAAGAAATAAATTTAAAAAGAAACTAATATCTTTTATTGCAATTCTGAAAATTCATCAATATAGACAGATGAATTTCTATATTCCTTCTCCTCTTTTTCAAAAAAATTGGTTATATCTACTCRTCTTTAATGCATGAGAGAGAACACTTTGGTTTTTGGCTGTTCAAATAGACCATGTGCACCTACCTGTGAGCTGCATGCCTGAGGAAGTTTCTGAGACTGAAGTTATAAGAAGGCAAGCAAAGAAAAGGTGCTACACACTGAGTTTATTCAAGGCTCAAGATGAAATTGTTAGGAATAAAGCACCATTCATGTCTTTTCAGACAGGAGCTAATATGTGCTTCAATAAGCTGAAATTTTATCACTCGTCACTTTAATCACATCTTTAGCAAAGCCACGTTCTCCCTCTATTACGGGTTAAATTCACATGTTGTGCTGGATCAAAGCCCCTCTGGGTCTTTGGTCAATACAAAAATTAAGAAAGTTTAACTCTAGTTTTCCTAGTAGTATATTTGTATCTAATTCAGAATAATGGGCATATATATATATATATATAATATATTTAATACATATTTATATTTATATTTACACATAATAGTTAGGATATATAGTACTCTATTACTATATGCCTACATTAGGTATTATATTAAAGGCATATTAAAATAAACCTTATAATAATAAAATAAACCTTATTAGAAAGATGTGAAATGATGCTATTCATCTTCTACCTTTTATTTTCTCAAAAGACACACAATTTAACACTTGAATAGAACAACACATACATCCTTATTTTATATGGTAAAAATAACCTCATTATTTTATCAAGATTTTTTTTTCAAGATGTTCCCACATTGTTTTCTTTCCTACTCATCTAATCTAACTTCAATAGTCCACCTCTATTCCAACTGGCCTTTCTCTCTTCTGATCTATGGATATATACTTTTTATTCTGGAATTATACCTTCCATATAATTCTATATGGAATGTTGTCCTCATTTTTCTCCAATAATCCAAATCCTGTCTACCTTTCACAGACCTGTATGATTACCCAGTGATTTATGCTTCCTCTCACTATTCCCCATCATTTTTAACATAGTATCTATGGAGACACAAGAGATGTTTTCTAAATTAATAAAATTGTTCTTGATTTTTTTCTAGGTAGCAAACATCTCTCTTCAACTGGGGAGAGACTGGTTGTAACAAACAAGTGAGCATCTGAAACCTTAGCGAATAGAACTGACATGTGAGCACATACATAATATTTTCATTTGGCTCTCACACAAGAGTCAACTGACTATAGGTCTGTGTCTGCAGATTTTAAAGAGATGAAAATAATTYTAAGTGCAATTCATTCAACAAAACCTAATGAAACCAAAAACTAAATCTCAATCCATATTGGTAAAGGGAACCACGGAGGCAGGCCTCTCTTACCTGCAATAAGGAAGATCACACCCCCAATGACAGCCATCCTCATCTTCTGTACCTCATCATCTTCCAAGCACTTCATACACTTCATGCCAACGGTGGACACAAAGATTGCTATAAGTCCCAGCAGGATTCCAATCACCATCAATGCACGGGTTGCTTGCAAAGTGCCTGAAAGGAAATATTTAGAACATTTTTAAAAACTTTTAAAAACAAGTATACATATTATCTTGATGTTTACTATTTGAATTTAAATGGCTTACAATGCATCTTTGGTATTTATTACCAACTTTACACCACAATCATCAAGCTTCAGAAAAAGTAGTGAATATGAAACATATATGAATTTTAACAAAGTTTATCATGGCTGGATAAGCCACACTTGTATCTCTAGTGACTATAAGGAGGACACAAAACCCATTTTTTTAAAAACAAAATAAACTTTAAGAAGTTACTTTGGAACATAGTAGTATATTCACATTCAAAAGTTTAACCAGTTTTTTTCAACTATTTCAGCTGTCATGTTATAAAATAACAGACACAATAATTCATTTTGGTATTTCTCAGGATCCCACTAATTTTCKAATTCCCTGTATTGTCTTTGGTTTACTACGTCATGATCAAATTGACAGGATCAGGTTTGAGAGATTATGTCGATAGATCTCTTAAAGAGAAGAAACTTCAGACCATCATTGTGGCATAAAGGTGAAGACTTGAAATAAATAAGGAGGGGGAACTAGACAGATTAGATTTTATTTAGTTAGAAGCATTGGCTCCTTCTGGTCTTCAAAAGTGGCTGAGATGATGGAAAAAATTTGAATTTCAAAATCTAATTTATACCCAGGTTCAGTCTCAGCATCTTCAGGGTTGATAACTTAGGCTACTGATCAAAATTAAAACTAAACATTTCTGAAGCATCATTAAATTTCAATTTATTGACATTTCTATTCTTGTCATCATTGATCTATGACAAATCATATTAATCTCTTTCTAAGAAGCATCAAAGGTATTTTTATAGTATYTGAGTGATATTCTGTAAACCAAAATAATTTCTTGCTTGACTTCATTAGAAAATGAAACAGATACTCTCTGCCTCCCCTTAACATTCCTACCTCCCTGTGTGTAGAAACATCTATACACACCCACCCACACCCCTAGCTCAATGTTCCAGGCGGGAAAGAAACTGAGGAATCAAAACATGTTCYCCAGCCCACGGTTTACAGGAAGTGAAGCTGCTTACAAGGTCACTGCACAACTTTTTGCACAGAATCACTAACCATACTGTGGTATGAAGAGGAAAGTACCAAGGACTCCATAACTAAGATGTATACTTCCTTATCATTCACGAATAGCCTTTTCAAAGAAAATCATTMCTTAGAAAGAAAACTAAAATTACAATAACTCAATTCTCATCCATAACACGGACTTCAGATTTGGTGGGATTCTAGAGGCAGAGGCCAAAAGCAGCAAAAACAACACAGGTGCCTAGAGGATAAGGTGACTATTYAGGTCAACTTTCCCAGGACTGTCTTCATTTTAAAACGAACAGTCCCGCATCCTAAGGGGGCCCTGGGTCCTGGGAAAACTAAGACAATAAGATATGGAAAGGGAAATGAAGTTCAGCAAGGTGCAAGGAAGGCATGCATTATAAAGAGTTTATTACAAAGTGAGGGTAGAGGACTGGAGTCTATTCCAGCTATATTCAGAAGTCACTGGAAGATCTTAAAGCAGGGGTGACATGTTTTTACCCTCAGTATTTAGATCATATAATCAGAAAATATTCCTATTACTATAGCCCTTCAAATATGTAAAACCTCTTACATCTTACAGCCACCTCTTTATTTTATCATACATACTCAGCTTTCCAACCCTCTATTAATGACTTTTCTTCCTTTCTCTGATCTCTTTCCAAGTTTTCCACTGTTTTCAAGTTGTAGGGCCCCAAATGTTACCTAGCTTATATAATAATCATACTTCTGTTTGTCAAGTAAAAGCACCAGCCACTTAAACAGCACGTCTTAGCASTGAGGAAGCACAGGGCATCCTTCATGAGGAGTCTACTGGGCTTTGGGCCCCTGAGTCAGGCTTGTATAAAACCTCTGAACTTTTAAGCAAGGCATACACACCTATAAACTACTCCAGGTTCCACCRCATCTGCCTAGAATGACCTAGAATTCACAATTTTAATCTAAATTTCTCCCCTTTATAAAAACAAACAAGTAAACAAAACAAAACAACAACAACAACAACAAAACGCCTTTGGTTCATGTTGTACCACTTCTTTTGCAAGGTTTCCAAGGAGGAGGATATTCTGTTTTATGTTCGCTAATAGTCCTGCAGTGTTTCATTTTCTTATAGAATAATGTGTTATTTGTTTAACACAAAAAAAAAAAGATAGAGAAAATGGAGAAAACAAAACTTCTGATTACATTCACCATGGAGATCAAGGGGCTAATTTTTTCGTTTTTTTTTTTTTTAAATGTGACAAAACAATAGTGTAGGATGTTGTTTTGTAAAGAAATATCTTCCATTTATATCCTGGCAGCCATTGACTTGTAAATTTTTGGTTTTTGTATTTTACAATATTAGCTGGCATCAAACACAAAATCTCATCTTTCTTTACTAATTTGRATGAGTTCTTAACTACAGTGATATGTAAGTAAAATGTAAAAATAATAAATACACATACACAAACACTGAGAATCATGACAGCATGAAAACTCACTAGCTGGGCATATGTAACAATGGATTTCAAGTCAAGTTAAGCAATAYTGTGTTACAAGTTATGAGGACTTGTATGTGCAGATCAAATCTACATTGCACAGTTTTAAGCTGGAGCCAGATGAATTCTTCAGACCAAGTTCTTGTGGAAGGCTGTTAAGTCAGAGACCTAAGACATGTAGCTGTAAGCTCCTAGATGACTTGAGTCAGATATTTATTTATATTTCCATCCATAGTACTGAGTATAATACTTGAAAATCTATACCTGAAGAAGAATTTGAATTAGAGCAGTATCTTTCTTTATATTTTAAACTGTAATAATATCATACATAAAATACATATACTTCTGTTTAAATTAATCTTTGAAATAATACATAGAAACGCTTCCTTCAAGAGCTTTGGATGCTAAAATCTTTATACATAAAGCCAGATTTAGTTTTTAGGTCATTAAAAGCTAAAAACTCATGCAGAGAGGAAACATTTATACTYTTAACTTTTTAAATTATATTTCCAATGAGCTCTCAAGATGAAATTCATTTTTTTTCTTATTAGAATGACAAAGGGCAGGGCAGAGATACCAAGAGAAATGTTTAAAAGTTATAAAATCATATTTTGAATCAGAGAGATATAATACAGATTTGWGCTATTAACTCTGAGCTGGTTGGATCAAATCTAGTGTATTCCTTTCCTGGAACTTTAAATTTGCAGATACCTGTACAATATCATAACTAACTAAAGTTGTCTGTGGAGAATTTGGTTAGCAAACATTGAAAAAGTCATGCTATTGTTTCTCTTCATTATTCAGCAGTAAATGGAGAAGGCAGTCTTTTAATTATACTTAGCCAGACTGGTAATCTTGAGCTTAAAGACCCCCTAAGGAGTTCTCACCACTTTCAACCTAAAAGTATAATTTTAAAAATACTTACAAAGATCTCTACTTATAAGACAAGAAATGAGTTGCATGGTACTGATCTACTGCACTTAGATTCATCAACCTAAGTGTAGAAAGACAAGTACAGACAAGAATGTGGATTTTTTTTTCTAAAGCTTTACATGTAAACMCTTGACATTGTTTATGCTACTTACTAACCATGTTACCATATTCTTACCCTACAGAGTGTATATCATAAACAAAATAAATTTCTATTCTAATTGTATCCTCACACAGTCCTTCTTTGTACTAGTAGTTGCTAAGAATGGAGTGAATAAAAGAAAAATTTGACCACTGTGTGACAAGAAGAAAAATGCTCTTGGCTCCCTTACAATTAAAAAAGCTCTTCAAGACTGTCACAGATTATATTCCTATTTTTTTCAACTTCTTAAGTCTTTCACTTTTACTGATGTTCAAAGTTTCACAAGAGAAATCATTGTTAGCATTTCCATTTTATTGGTGAATGAGCTCGTGTGACTTCAGAACATAAGCGAAGTCAGTAACTCCAGGATGAGGAAGGCCTTTGCACTTTTTAGGATGCTCTGAGAGGTTTTGCTACCTTTCTTTGGTTTGTTTCTTAAATAAATTGCCTCATGATTAAATTTGGGCTTCTATCACCTCCATGTCACTTACTCATCATTTTAGGATTGTGTTCTGCCACTAGCTTTTCCCTCTTCCATCATTAAAGTTAGCAACAGAAAGTTGGCCCTGGAAGGCACCGCACGATCATCCCAGTTATATCCCTAAGAGTGTGATTAGGGCTGTGCTCACATTTTTGAATGGACACATTAATAGTGAATTTATCGTGGTTCCTCCTACTTTGCCTCATTTTACGTGTGGGAAAACACCTGAGCTAAGAGAGGTCAAGTGGATCCCTATCCATCATACATAATTGCTACTTAATGCAAAACCARGTTAAGAATTAAGAACTTCTTATTTCAAGCTTTTTTTTTTTAATTATTACATTTCCATCGTTCTAACAGTCAGAACTAACTCTTGAAACATCTGCACAACAATCGCCCTTTGAATGTCCTTGGTTTCGTAGGCATAAAGCAGTCTAGAGAAGCATAAATGCCCTCCTCTCTATCCATGCTTCAAAGACTGTCCAAGTCAGTGATTTTGTTTCTCTGCCTAAGTCTGACATCATGGTGAGAGTGCTGGGAAACCTCATGACAACCAATACTCATTAAGCACACCTACACACAAGTGGATTCATGCAGAGCAAGTTTAACAGGCTAGTGTAGCTTATAAACAAATTACAGAATCTCAGAGTTAGATGAAACTTAAAGAGTCTAGCCTAACCTCCCATTTGTCTGGTGCTTGGATCTTCCCAACAGCATTCTTACAAAGTGCTTACTTATTCTCTGCTTGGATACCTCCCAACACGTAGCCTCCTTAGACAGCCCAATCTTTGGATAGTTCTAGCTATTAAAGTCAAGTAAGAAGAAGCAACTAATGAAGCATGCAAAATAGGCATTAGCTTCCCCAAATGTTGAGAATGTCATTAAAACAAGGCAAAATGTACAGGTTAATTAAGAAAAGTATGCTGCGATTATATTTGATACTCTCCTTTGTATACGTAAATTTCCACTTTCAGCTGCAAGAGTTRTCAATGTCAATGGACATCACAATAGGGTACAATGAAAGTTGTCTTATCCCCTATAAATCATAGTACATTGTGTGACAGGTGTTTCTCCAGAAGTACCTCCTCAGTTTCATTTTCATAAACTGCTTGGTTAGAACTACCTAAAATAAGTTCTGCTGTCTCTCGTGTCTTACATTATATAGAGTACATTCTGTATACAGTGTAAGCACACTGTGTTCCTTAAGATCCTTCATGAAGATCACATGTTTTTGACAACTGATACCAGTTAAAGCACAGAAACAAGGTTCAGTGCTAAAACCTTGAGAAATTCCCATATGTGGAATGTTAAGATGCTAAATGGGCTCTACTGGCAACGATAGCAAGGTACAATTTCAGGAAACCTATAGTCAAGCTTTCATCTTAAAGCATTTCATGAAACATAAGCTTTTATGAGGCACACTACTTATGCACACAGAGAGTCCTTTTCATCTCTATATGTCATGGAACTACACCAAAACCAGTCAGTGTGTCACCACCCCAGATCTTCTCATCAGGTGGGCGTGAGCATCACTGCTCAGGTGGAGAAACAGAGACAGATTTCCTGGGCTCCATCCAAAAGCATCCAGTGAGTCACTGGCCAGTTAGGAGAAAGAACSTGTGAGTCAAGATTCCCTCTCCTGGGAATTGGTTTTGGGAGAAAGGCCTTACTTCCATCTTRGATAAACCATGACTTTAACCAAAGCAGAAAGGAGAATTTGTTCTCACTGAAGGCACAAACCAGAAGTCTCCAAATTGTATGCATGCGAGAGGGAAGTATGTATTGCTTCCACCACAGCTTTAAAAACTATAATAACTACATTAACAATAAATTAATTAAAATGAAACATTTAAACACAGCATTATGGTTAAGGATGATCTTATTGAGTATCTACAGCATKAATCAATTTTTTTTCCATTTTGTCATTTAAGTTATACTAGTTAAACATGTTGAAAATGAACAATCTTGATTAAAGGAATGAAATTGATATTGAGACTTCTCTGRAATTGTCCTTAGTACCTTCTCCATCTGCCAAAAATGACTGACACCTTTTCCTTCAAGAGTATTTCTCTTTCCATGGGACAATTCAATGATTCACTCTCAATTGTTCACTTTGGAAATATATCACAGAAGGGCTATAAACAATACACAACTACTAAATTTATAGATTACTTTTGATATAAAAGAATCATGACACGGGAATCTTGAAAAGCTGAAGTGACAACAYACAAAACCACCATACACATCGATTAAATTCTCCAGGTGTTCAATCAGGTCTGAAGCAGGTTTAATAACTCTAAACCACATGGCTTCTGACATTTTATATCAATCATTATTCCTCATTGGAGGTGGGCAAAGCAAGTGAAGTAAACTTGAGCAGTCCCAAGCTGCTCACCCTGGGCATGCCTTGGGGACTGGTGGACAGTCTTATTTTTCTGAGGAAGCTTTTCTTCAAGTTGGTTAAAGGACACAACAGACACATGGTATACAACAACAAATGTGATTGCTCAAGAGAGATCATCCTGTCATGAAAGTTTATTACCTAAGTGGGGATTTAGCGATTTTTCTAACAAGGCACTCAAAAGCTTTTCATTTTTTAAAAAAGGAGAGAGATGGAAAAAGGCATTTTGTCATCTTTCTCCCCAACATCCATATAAATATTGCCCTCTACATAATCCTTTCCAACTTAGCCTCCTTTCTTGTTGTCCTTTTCCCACTTGCCATCAATCTTCTCTCTAAAATAATACTATATGGTCCACCTCCTCTGAACACCTCAGGCTTGAAAACGAAATGTCTTGTGCAAATACCAAGAGGCTTCTTTAAGGAGTCTTGAGAGGGGCTTCTGCGCACTTACATGATTTTAAAAATGGGAAATAATAGGTATGAAAGTGACCCTTACCRTGAAAAGTCATAGTAAAGTTTTTCTTTTAACTTCCTTATTTGATATTTTGGAATCATGAATTTAATTTTGCACACTGTAAAAGCTACACAAGGCATGCTACTTTCTTGCCAGAACCTTACCAATCCTGAAGTTACCCAGAATCAGAATGTCCAGAAGAGGCCTAAGAGCTCAAGTTCAAGCATGGCCTTCACTTTTCCAATCTCCACCCACCCTCATAAGAATTTAAGATGAAACCACACCTGGAGCAGGGGTGGGAGTGGGGGCAGAAAAGTGTGCCAGGAAGTTGGAGGCAAAACTAGAGCTTAGGCCCGGGCCTCCTTTTCCCAAAACCAGGGTTGTCTCTAATCCCTCACAACAGATCAGGTGATCAGAAGATCTGATCACCTGAAGATTGATAATCATGTAATCACAGAACACAACAGGGTCACTACCCCATAAGGGAGCCACTGGGGGGAATTGGGGTCTGTAGGTGGCTGCCGTGAGAAGGGGATACACTCACTGTTTAAATTCAGCAAGGAGTCGAAGACTTTGCACTGGATCTGCCCTGTGCTCTGCGACACGCAGGACATCCACAGCCCTTCGTAGATGGCCTGGGCGGTCACAATGTTGTCTCCAGCATAGGAGTAAATCTTCCACTGGGGTAGAGCAGTGCTGACGATGGTGCCGATCCAGCCCAGAAAGGCTAGAATGAAGCCTAGGAGCTGCAGCCCTGCGTTGGCCATGGCTAGCTCAGGCGCTCACGCAAGCTCCGGGTGGCAGGTGCAGAAAGTGGAGAGTTTGCAGGTGCGCACCTAGGGCTCGCGATGGTTGCCGGGGCGCTCCAACCAAGTTATTGAGGGGAATCCTGCTCGCTGTGCTGCTGCTAGAGAGGCTCTATTTCCGGATCAGGGTCCCAGTCCAAGTTAGCCCTGGACTTCGGCTGCAAGAAGTGGCCGCTGCTCCCAGGCTCAGGCTCTGAGACTCGCAACCGCTGGGCGCCGCGATTTAAAGCAGCTCCGCCCCCTGCTGCAGCCGCGCTGCGTCCCCTGGCGGTTTCGGGGCGGCTCACAAGGAGCGCGACCCAGTGCGCAGGAGTTGGCTCTGGCCACGGCGCTGCTGGCGGGACAGTCCCGCCAGCGATGATGGGACAACTGGAGAATGATCAGAAGTACGTAGGTTGCCACTTCTTCTCATTTCTCTCCTCGTTCGTCAGGCTTCTCATTCATTCACTCCGTAGTAACGCTCAAATTACTATGGATGTGTAAACATAAAAAAAGCCAGAAAAGGAAAAATGGACCCCCGCAAGAGCTCCAGTTTCACTTTTAACGCCCCCCAATATCTTATTGAAATCATTTCCAACTCCGCCTCCATTCCTACTTACACACGTTCCTTCGTCTTCCTTCAGCGTCCTCCCCTTCTCTTTTCCTCCTCCTTTTCTTCTCTTCAAGGTCCTGTCATCATCTGTCTCCTCAAGGGCCCTCAGAGATCTTTAGGGAACTGAGACCCAGAAAGGAAACACGACTTTCATAAAACAACACAGCAAGTTAGTAGCATATCCAGTATTTGTGTCTGCCCTTGCATCTTAAGCTGAAAGAAGCACATGCCCTTTCATATATTGTCCTCCCTTTGAAAATGCAGCCTGGTGCCCCACCCCAAGTTGCCCCCTTCACATACACCAATTGCTTCCTGAAAGGAGTTTGTTTTGGAGCAGCACCTCAGATTATCAGGGGGACCTGGCCAGTGCCCATTTCTACTCAAGGATGTTCCATGGATGGATTATCAAGTATTGTTTGTCAGAGAGGAAGGCACAAAACAGCCCCCAGTGGAAAGAGCACCCTGTTGGAATTTAGGAAGACTGCATTCCCACCCTGGCTTTTGCAGGGAGGGCTCTGCCATTCCCAGGCTTTGGTCTCCTTGAACTTTTAGTGTGGGCTATGGATCTCTAAGGCTTTCTTCTTTGTAGYTGCTTAGAAGTGGTGTTGTGGTTGGGAATAATTAAAATGTTTTCCCGACTTTTGTGTGTGTGTGGTGTAAGTGTAATGGGAGGAGAAACTTCTATGGTTTGGGTAAAAACAGAAGAAACTTGGAGGCAGAAATAAACATGAAGGAGAAAACAAGGGCTACACATACATACTAAGGGAGCTGTTAGACTGCAACAAGGAAGAAATGATAAAAATGTTCACACTGAGGGTGAGAGGAATGGCAAAGCCCTCTGCCCCACTTGGCTGTTTCCAGATGACTTTTGTGAAGGCTTAAGGAATACAGGACTTGTCTGCCCAGGGATTTGGGGTGAGCAGCGAGGACGAGGGTGACATAGGAACTGGAGGAAGAGATTTAGTTAAGCAATATTAAAACACGTGAGGGCTATCCTTCTACCGCCTCCCCATACCTGAAAAAGGCTCCAAATAATATGTGTAGGGCAAGACTGTGTTCACATTGTGTCCCCTGGCTCTGGGCCTGCAAGCAGTGTTGTTCTCTAGGTTCCTATGAATATTCTTCAGGGGCCTGGTGGTGTGGATGAAGATATATCATGTTGTAATTTTTTATTCCTCAGATCAGAAGAGGGACTGTAGGACTAAACCAGAGTCATATAAATCATATCAGCCTATCCATTTTTCTTCCAGTCTTTTTCAGAATTAAAACCATTTTAAAAAGACAAGATTTGAATCCAATGAATGTATTTGTTTACAAGCCCTTTTAATCTGTATTGGGATCTGTTTCTATCAACCCCAAGTTGGCAGGGAATTGGAAGGATGACTTCTGTGGTCAGCAGGGCCTGTGTTTTTGTGGTTTTACTCCAGGTCTGTGTGAGGCTGATTACCTCACTACCCACAACCCTGTTTGTGAGACTGCGGTGAATGCTGTTTGCTCCACTGTGACCCATGCTCGTCTCTGGCATCCTAATCCTGTCTACTTTTCTGTCCTGAGCTTCAGGACAGAGAACAGGTGAGATAATAGCTCAGCGCAACTCCATTAACTCCTGAGGAAAACAACTTAGAGACACTAGCCTTTCATAAATGAGGTATAAGCCATAAAGGCAGAGTTGTGATCCAGAAGATTCTAGAAAGACTGGCAATGGTGTGGCAAATGTTCTTGTGTATGAAGCCAGATAATCTGTTATGTACTCTCAAACTTCCTCTCTCTGCCTCACTTTTCTTATCAATAAAAGTTAAGGATTGAGGGGCTGGGATTATGGCTCAGTGATAGAGTGCTTGCTTAGCATGTATGAGGCCCTGGATTCAATTCTCAGCACCACATATAAACAATAAATAAATAAATAAATAAATAAATAAATAAATAAATAAAGTCCATTGACAACAAAAAAATTTTTAAAAAAGTTAAGGATTGAGATATAAAAGGTCATCCAAGTTTAAAGCCTTAAAACCCTATGGAATAGTAGCTAATACTTCTTAGTAACATATTTTCCCCAAGTGTTGAGCTCAGGGTTTCATATGCAATCTCATGTGAAGACAACAGAGACACAAAGAAGTTAAGTTGCTTACCCAGGGTTATATTTGGTAAATGGCAATGCTGGCATTCTAAAGTATAGTTTGACTCTGAATTCCATGCTTTCAACCGGCATGCTATAGTTTCTCAATGTGAACCTAGTCAAACTGAGAACAATTGCCATTTTGAATGGGCTTAGAAACCCTTATCATGTGCTTCTAGTTCCAGGCAATGGTGAGATATTACATTGTGACTGTCCTTTCTTTAAGTCTCTAGCAACCCACTGAGATCCTATATCTTGAGGATCTGGAGTCATGTGGTGAAGAGGTATTGCTGCCAGGAGGGAAGTATGCAGGAAAACAGCAGAGCCCATGGGTCTACTCTAGGCATATGATGGTGCTCCAATTTAGTCCTGATCCATGGAACTATAGTACTCAGTAGACAAGATACACAAAAGATGGAAGTAAAAGTGAGGCTAAGTTTGATAGAAGAGTGTATAGAAAGAGAAACCAGGCCCCAAAATGTAGCATGGCAGAGTACCTGATATAACTAATGATGAGAGAAAGACAGCCTTTGGGATGTAAATTCTCATTAGAGATAGTACAAGTTCACTTTGACTTTCCAAGACTTCTCTCAGATGGTAAAGCCAGAATGGATGCCCAGAGTACTAAGAAAATAATCCGTCTGCTGTGTAATCATTTAGGGCGTGAGGGAGCAATCATAGTTCAAACTTGAAAATTTAACGTGAATTTTAGAACATGCAAGTGATTTATACTGGTAAATACCTAATGTAACTTCTTAAAATAGTTTTTTGAAACTCCTTGGAGCTTATGAGAGGATAGTGAGGGGCAATCTTTTCTTTTTTAATATCCTAATTATACATATTAGTAGAGAAACTTCAAAAATTCATACAATATCCTTGTTGTCCTTAGATTTTCTCTCAAATGAGTCAGACCCCACAGTGGTTGTGAGCATTAAGCATGTTAATACTTGTAAGGTATTTAGAACAGTAGTTGGCATGATAAGCACAGATGAAATGGTACTTATTATCATTTTGAGCAGATCAGATTTATTAAAATGCTGATCCTGTCGTTTACAAATGATCCTTATGTTTGTTCGGAAAAACCCTTTCTTGCTTTGATTTTATTAAAATCTAATTTAATATCATAGTAGCAAGATAGACAGTTCTCTATCTGGAAAATAAAAATTTGTGTCTAGAAATCATAAATGCAGACAGGATCACGGGCATTAGATGAGATTTCATGCTTCCTGCTYCAGGGCCAGTAAGATTCCCTCTCTGAGTGCTGGATGGTTTCCATGGCTGGGACTGAAGCCTGAGGAGCCCTTCCTGAGAAGGGGAACAAGAACTGAGGGAGAGTGGGACGAATGTGACGTGGAATGACTCTCTCCTAGAGATCAAGGTGGATCTTTAGAGAGTAAGGGGGAAAAAAGTAAAGCTGTAGTTTGAGATTTTATGATCAAATGTCTACACTATTATTATGTAGATATGAAACTTCCTCTTAGGTCTCCCCTCAACTTTGTCTAACAAGTCTATTCAGAAAAAATAGGGAAAAGGTGAAATTTTAGCTGTAAAGTATACTATTTCAATCATAGATGTCTAGTTTGAAGTAAGTTGATGAGGGACTATTTTCTTTATTGCTTGCCTTAGGTCGTTTGGCCAAGTGTTTCTTTTTAATCATTAGAGATAGCTAGGTGTACCTTAATAATTTGATCATGGAGTTCATATCAAATTTGTAATGCTATTTTACTTCAACTCTCCTTGATGTAACATTCTCTGTATTAGGGTTTTCCTGAGGGAAAAAAAAGGCAATAGGATAGTATGAGGAGTGTGTGTGTGTAGAGAGAGACAAGGAGAGGGAGAAAAGGGGGCTTTAGGGAATTGGCTCACATGGTTCTGAGAACTGCTAAGTTTGCAATTTACAGAGTATCCAGGAGCTTGGAAACTGGGGTAAGAGTTGGCCCTGCAGTTCTGAGTCTGAAATCTTGAAGTCTTGAAGCCTTCTCTTTTGAGACTCCTCAGTCTTTTCCTAATTGGATGAGGCCCACCATGTTAGGGAGTGTCATCTGATTTACTCAAAAATCTACTGACTTAAATGTTAATCACATCCAAAAAATACATTTAACRGTCACATCTAGGCTAGCGTTGACCAAAGAAGAGACTACGTGGATGCATAAATTATCCATCACACTAGATAATGCTCAACTAATCATTTACATATAAAAATTTTACTCATATGAATTCACTCAGTCCTCAAAAAAGTCAGTGAGTTAGTTAACAATCATTACAGATGAGGAAACTGAGGTCTGAATAGATAAAGTACTTGACCCCAAGTTATATAGCCAGTAGAGAGCAGAGTTGTCATCCAAACTCGGCTGATCTGGCTTCCAAGCCGGTTCATGCAGTATGCTAAACTACATCTGAAGCCAGTTCTTCACTCCTATCTCCCTTGTGATTGTCATCCAAATATATCCACAAACCCAGTGCTCACCTGCTCCACAAATCTGAGTCA